CAGCACACCACAGCACCCACCACGCACACCAGAGCACACACACACCACACTGCACACAGCACCCACACCACGCCACACCCCACATGCCACGTGTAAACACCTGCGGGTGGCCCTGAGTGCAGGGCAGGCTCTGTCCCCAGCTGCACAGGGGAACGGCCTCATGCCATGGAGCAGGAGGTGACGTAGGAAGACCCCAGCCGTGCGTGGGGTCAGGTGCTGGTGGCCATGGCTGTCCTGCGATGCACTCCAGGGTCCCCTCTCCAAGGGTCAGGCCCCTCGTCTGCAGGCCATGACCCAGCCTGTCTCCAGAGCCGCAGGTGGACCTGGGCACCCAGGTGGCCAGCATGCCGGGAGACACAGTCCGGAAACTCGGGAACCCCAAGGCTGGCTTGAGGTCCTGCCCCGCGGGAAGAAGGCGGGCAAGGAGGACAGGTGCGGGACGGCTGTGCATCCCACCGCAGGGGCAGCGAGAAGTGGGTGGGAAACCAGAGCAGGGGTGCGGCCAGAGGCCACGAGGCAGGGAGACTGACCGGAGCAGTGAGAGGCGACACGCAGGCACAGGCTGAAGGACAAGCAAAGCCCTAGACGTGGCCCGGGACACAGGAGGCTGGAAGGACAGGAGTGTGGCTCAAAGGTAAGCAGCAGACGTGCCGGGAAGACACACAGCCGCCCGGGGCGCACCAGATCCAGATGGCCCAGGGCCGCTGTGCGCAGAGTGATGCCCGCCAGGGGTGTGTGCCCACCAGGGGTGTGTGCCCGCCAGGGGTGTGTGCCCGCCAGGGGTGTGTGCCCGCCAGGGGTGTGTGCCCGCCAGGGGTGTGTGCCGTGTGAAACCAGAAACAAGGCCCTGCCCTTAGCGGTCTTCAAGTCCCCCCCCTCCCCGCCACTTCCTCTTCTGATGCTGGAAACTGAAGCAGGTGCTGGATCCCTGAGCTGCACCTCCAGACCTGGTTTTCTACTGTGAAGCAAGGTCTTGCAAAGTCACCCAGGCTGGCCTCAAACTTTCCATCCTCCTGCCTCAGCCTCCCGAGTCACTGGGATTACCAGTGCAGCACCATGCCCGGCCACGCTGAGCACACAATCCACCACGGGCCCACACCCAAGCCCCGTGACAGATATTTTCCATGTCCTCTGTTAATTTCTAACATAGTACATGTCACTAACAGGATCTCCCAACCACGCCCTACTCACAGCTGGGCAGGACCCTGTCTGGGGTGGCATGTCCTGTGTACGCAGTTGCACGACAGCCTCCCTCATGTCCACCCACTAGATACCAGCGGCCGCTGCTCCCCACCAGCTGTGTCAATCAAAACCACCTCGGACCTTGCCAGGTGCCCACTGGGGCACAGGGGAGTTCGCCTCATTGAGAACCACAACAGACCCAACTCCCAGAAACAAGCGCTCTTCTGAGAGTGTGTAGAGACCAAAAGGTGGACGCCCTTCCTGAGCTCACCACTACGGAAAGCAAATGCAAGAGTCCTTTTAAAAAATCAGCAAGCAGAGCCTAACAGTCACAAAGCCGTCAGGTAACACCTGTGACCCCTCGACGGGGCTCGCTCCGTCGACGCAGGATGGAGGGCATGAGATGACCTGTAAGAAGGTCGTGGCGTCTCTCTGACGATGTGGACACCAGCTTCACAAACTCAACCCACTTCCTGATAAAGACGCTTGGAACTAGGGTCCATTCAGGGTGCACACTCACCTAAGGCCCCTGCCAGGTGCCACCATCTCCAATGGCAGTGGTTCACTTGATGGAGGGACACGGCAAGCAGCAGGAATAAGACTGGCCAGTCTCGCCCAGGAATAAACGAACATTCACCATGACACTTATCAGCAAACCAGCCCCAGCCACGTACTTACAAGGACAGACCGATGACCACGACCAGCTCTGGCTAAGCTGAGGACACAGGAGTTTTCTGTTTGCCACCGAAGATCAATCAGTGTGACCACTGTCAGACAAGAGGAGGGAAACAATGTGTTTCATCAGAGCAAGAAGAGCAGGTGCTGAGGCAGGACACACTCGAGCCTTAGGACACCTGCCACAGAGGCGTCCATCCCGAGAGCTGGCGCCAGGCGAGCACCTGTGGTCCCAGCCTCTCCGGAGGCTAAGGCAGGAGGTCACTGGAGCCCATGAGTTTGGAGCCAGCCTGGGCAGCACAGCAGACTCTGTCTCTTAAAAACAGAGTAAGAGAGAGAAAGATCAGGAAGAAGAAAGCACGCTCCCTCCACCCGGGCACGCCCAGCTGTCCACACAGAACGCCCAAGTTCTCGAGGCCAGTTGTGGGCAGTAACAAGAGTGGCAGGAGGCCATGGGCAGGCAGAGTGCTCACACAGGCGGCTCCTGCCCTCCGCTAGGGCCTCCAGCGGCCAGCACCCTCATGAGAGAAATCCACCTTCGCTTAGAGGGACAAGGAGACAGCAGGCGTGAGGTGCGGCCCCCTGTGTACACCATCAGGTGGGTGCCCCCCAGGGCCCTCCAGCTCTGACCTCCTGATTCCAGGTCCCAGGGAGTAATCAGGAAAGACCAGGGCCGAGTCCCGAGGACAAGGAGGACAGCTCCCAGACTCTGCCTTCCAGCCTCCGCCACAGGACACACTCAAGCCTTAGGACACCTGCCACAGAGGCACCAAATCACCAGCACGGGCAGACATTTGGGGTCCCCGAGGCCAGGCAGCTTCAGAGGCAACCTTCATTGCTGGATCATGCACCACGCCCAGCACCACGCCCAGTCAGACAGATGGCGTCCGTAAGACAAGACACACATGGTCATGCCCAGGAGTTGCAAGGCCAAGCACAGCTGGACAGAGGCCACAGCCCCTCATCTCTGCTGGCCAGCACCACAGAGGGCTGGGGAAGCAGCGCTGCTGAACACCAGGCACCAGAAAATAGAGGCCGGACACGAGCCCTCACCCATGCCTCACAGGAGGGGCGCGGCCACCCGGATCAGGTAGCAATGCTCCCAGTGGAGAATGGATCCCAGCCCAGGCCACGTGGGCACCACCTTGACACCTTAGGGACTTACAAAGAGCACAGGCCAGAGGGACAGAGGCAGGGCCAGGTCCACACCACATGGAAGGCAAAGTCCACCTTCCACGAAGGCAGCATCTGGGCCAGCCAGCAGCCAGGGCTCCTCTGATCTGGACAGGTGACCTCTGACCCCAGCCAGCCCCTCAACACAGGGCGAGCCCACCAGCTCCACTGGCTCTCCAGGCCATGCCGCAGCCATGACGGATGGCCAGGCGTCTGCACTGAAAGATCACCCAGATGGACGTGTGCAAGGCACATGTGTGTGGTTTAGGACGTGCACAAACACAGAGGCCTTAACAGATGAGCAGCTCTGTGCTAAGAGAGCCCCAAGACAGCGCCACCTGGCCGCGAAGGCACCCACACCCCAGAGCTGCCGCACGCCGAGGGCTGCACAGATCCCCCACGGCTCAGGGGAAGCACACTTTCAGCTGCTCATTGGATTTGCATCTGGGTGCAGTTTTTACAAGCATATTAACTTCTATAATTAAAATTTAAATATTAAGAAAAAAACTAACTCCCTCTGACCTTCTGTCTATGGTGGTTTCCACAGGCTCCTCCACGGCCCTGAACCTGGTGAGATCTGCTGCTGCGTCTAAGAAAAGGGCTTCCCTTGCAGGACACCGGCCTCCCCAGACGCCCGGCGGGGCAAAGTCTGAGCCTCTGCCCTCTCACGTCTCCTCTGGGGCGTGGAACCCCAGCACAGCAAGGGTTAGTGTGCCCGAGACCAGGCGCCTCCCCGGCTCCGGTCCCCGATGCCACCCCCAACCCTTTTCACCTTGCCTGGCAGCCCAGCAGGGGACCACTATTCTAAGTCAAAAGAAAGGAGCAGGGAGGGTTTAGCTTTAGGTACAATGTGCTTTGTTTTCTTTTGTACATAGTAGTAGTTTGCAGCGATTTAACAAAGCACACGGCTAAGTAGCAGATCAATAAGGAGCAAGCGTTGGTTGACTGGGAGAGCTGGAGGGCAGGGGCGCCCGGCTAGCGCCCTCACTGGGACAGTGGCTCTTACAGAGTAGTCAATAAAGCACTCACTCCCACAGAGACGCCACACAAAGTCATTTCAACTCAGGAAAAAAGAGGCATTTCAGGGCCCGGGCCACAGGGCTGACGCTATTTTGAGTCAGATTTCCTAAATAACCACTGGATTGGCGGCAGGCTGCGTCTGTCCCATCAGGTGTGTTTTCATGGAGCAGTGGCTCTCGGCCACCAGGGTCATGCTGCGACCCAGGAGCTTACGCTGCCTGGCCACTGCCCACTGAGAACTTGGACTGCGCGCTAACCCTAGAAGTTTCCAGGCAGACCACAGAAGGCACTTCCAAGGCAGCTGTCTCCAGGTCCACGGAGGAGAGCCAAGGCCCCCGCCCAGGCCTGACCACCGTGGATGAGCCTGTGGCGCAGCCCTAACACCAGCAGGCCCCGGGGGACGATGCAGACCCCTAGGAGGGGCTGTGGGAGCCCAGGAGAGATGCCCCAGGCCTGCGGACCTCCTGGAGGGGCAGCTCTGTCCTCGGGCCTGGGGGCCTGTCACCTGACTGAATGGCCAGCCAATTCTGCATCCCCACCAGCACAGGCTCCGGGGGCTTCCTGCAGGAGCAGGCTCCACCTCTCAGGTCCATGTGCACTGACCCAGAGCCTCACCAGGGGTCCCAGATGGAGGGCTACCAGCCAGTCTCAAGGAGACCCAGGGGCTTCTGGGGCCGCTCTGCTGAGGGGACCCCTACCCCAGCTGTGCCCCAGCAGTGGCCTTGGCCCAGTGACACTTGGGCTTGGCCCCTTCCAGCTTAGCTCTTCCCTCCCAGGAACAGAAGTATCTGAACTTCATCATGCAGACTTGGAGCAGACGGCAGCAGCTCTGTGGACCCCCTTCTGAGCACAGGAACTACCTACGCAGGCCCTGGAGACGCCAACGGGCATCACACTGAGGCCTGCGGCGCCCACGGCCCCCGTGGCCCCAACAGCCACATCTAAGCTGGTGGGAACCTGGGGTGCAGAGGTCACTGGTCTCCAGCCTCTGCTGGCCAAAGCTGGCCATGTCACCAAGGGGCCCAGGGACACGAATGGAAACGCGGCATGCTGCAGGCACCCTCGGCACTCACCAAGGCACGCGGTCAGCGGGGCAGGCAACGACTTCCTCGGAGATGTCTGACCTGAAGGGCCTGGAAGGGAGAGGACACACCATGAGTGAGGGAACGGGACCGCCAGGTGACCCGGACGGGCAGGCTCCTGTCAACAGAGGCCGGGAGGGACCCAGAGCTGCACTTTCACCTTCCCTTCCCACCAGCACCAGAGCACCGCCCCTGGGGCCCATCAGTAGGTGACAAAGAGGCCAATGGACGCCTTGGACATGAGCAGACCCTGAGGCAGCTGGAGGCCACATCCCAGGACAGGACGGCAACCTGCAGCCCTGAGGCTCTGGGAGCAGCCAGAGGTGGCCTGTCCCCGGGTGGAGCAAAAGGTCCCAGGCCTCCTGCTCCTCCACCCCCAGGGCTCTGCCAGCCTCCTGACCACACTGCCCCTTCCCACAGTCCCCCGACACCAGCCCAACCAAGCCCTCCCTCCGTCACAGCGAGCCCACCCAGGTCAGCCAATCCTGGGTTCATTTGCTGTAAACAGAAAACTCACCATCTCACTGCGCCTGTGCACAGGCCGGGGCACTGGCCGCCTGACACTGGGCAGACATCTCCACAACCTGCCCCTCCCGCGAAACACCCACCCCAGCCCCTCCCCAGGCCCTGCCACCCGCCTTTCTGGCCTCTGACTCCCACCACTTCCGGAACTCTGCTGGGATCACACATCTGTCTCCTCGTGACTGGCCTTTTTCCCCATGTCCCCAAGGTTCGCCCTGATGCCTCACGTCGCAATGCCATCTGTTCCACTGAACACACACCGTGGGCTGTGTCCCCTCCCCCAGAGCCTAACGTGACAGGACATGAAGGTGGGGCCTCATGAGGTTCTGGGGGCTGAGAGTGGGCCCGCAGCCTGGGCGGGCCTGTTCCCCCTCCGCCAGGCGAGGGCAGTGGGGAAGGACCCGGGCAGAAGCCCATCTGCCGGCACCCAGACCCGGGACCTGCTGCCCCCAGGACTGTGAGAAGCATCAGTCGGCCAAGCTGGCCGAGGCAGGCCGGCGACACAGCCTTTCCTCTCCGGTCTTTAGGTCTCACTCTCTCGGGGACCCGCTTCTAGCTCACTGTCAACGTGCTGTGAGGCAGGGTCGAGCCGCTGCTTTTCCGCAGAAGGGCCCAGTACTGCCCCTCCTTGTCTCTGAACTGCAGTTTCCAAGGAGAACCTGTTCTAATTGTCACCCGCTCCTTGGCGCGGGACAGGCCTGACTGGGCTTTGAGCATCAGCCCTGTGACGCGCGTGACGCGCGTGACGTGCGCTGCTGTGGTTTTCTGTCTCCTCGGCTCGGGAGGCGCTGGCTTCTTGGACATGAGTTTTCATCCAATTGGAAGAACAGCTGCCTTTCTTCCAGTGCTTCCTACCACGTGCCCCTTGTTCCACCAGATGAGGCTGCTCCAGGGCCCCCTTTTCTTTCTTCTCTCTGCCCCACGTCACGGTGTTGTGTCCTCAGGCTCGCCACCTCATCTCCGGCAACATCGACTGAATGCGCCGTTGCTCTCCTCTCCACGGCTCAGCTGGCCTGTCGCTGAACTCAGGGAACATCCACCCACAGCCCTGAACCCCTTATCTGCTGACTCCCATCTGGATGACTGACAGTTCTCCTATGGTGGCTGCGGTCACTGAGAACTGGACGCTGGACATGGTGGCAGGCCTTCAGCTGTCACCGGGCTTGGTCCTGGAAAGGCTGTGGCTGAGTCGGCCTGACCCCTTCCGTCTCGCCGTCAGCTCTGCAAGGCTGAGGCCCAGCAGCCTGCAGCTCAGGCCAGGTGCTGACTGGGGGAGCCGAGAGGCTCTCTGCTAGCTGCAGCGACACTGCACCCCAGCCTGGGCCAAGGCCAGGAGCTCTCCGAGGGCTGGGGCTGGAGCAGCCCCTCTGCTCCCCGGGGCTCCTTCCTAAGAACTCCCTCCTGTCCTTTATTTCCCTCCACTAACTCCAGCCTCTCGCGATCACTTCACACCGGAACACCTGGCTCCACCAGGTCTGGGCTCCCTGACCCCGAGCCGCCAGGCTGGGCTCCTGGCTCCTCCTCACACCTCCCCGTTCCTGGCCAGAGGGCTGCTCAGACCCCACAGTGCTTCACACCTAAGTACCCCGAGGGTCTCTCCTCAGGGTGCGGCATCCTCCGTAACCAGAGCAGTTATCACACTGATGAATTCAGCAACCGGCCCGGAATCCACTGAACAGCCCGTCTACACCGCACACCCCACGTGTCCAGAAACAGGACACAGCTGGGTTTCCAGCCAGACTGTCACCAAGGCGCACGTGGCACCTGGCCACTGTGGTCTCCGGGGCCCTCCTGGAACAAGGTCGGCAACCTCCTCTGTAAGGACGGTTAATACCTCAGGCCGAGAGCCGCCTGCGGCTCACAACGCCACACCCCAGCCAAGAGGAAGACTCCCCGAGCCTTCACTTCAAACCTGTGGGGTGAACGTTACCATCTGAAGGGACAATGAGGCGCAATGGTCGATGCTGAGTGATTCCAGGGAGTCCAGAGGAAGTCAGAGGGCAGAGACAGAGACAGAAGTTGTACCACAATCACAAATATCAGCTTTGGAATGCTGACGGTCCTCTCACCAAGGACGGATGGCAGAATCCTGCCACTCGGTGAGTGCCTCAGACCTCCAGGCTAGGGGGCACTGGGACCTGAGCAGTGAGCCAGGTCAGCCAGCCCCAGGCAGGGTAGATGCTGCCAGGGCTCCCTCAGACGCAAAGGGCCGCCCTGAGCAGAAACAGGGTCAGGAGCGCCCAGGAACGAGGGCGCCCGAGGCTGCTCCCGTTGTCCTCTTCACCCACGAGCGGGCCGAGCAGCCCTCAGCCCAACTCAGCAGAGGGACTGCAGCCTGGTTTGCTGGTTGAAGGAGGCATTACCCAACCCCTGTAGCCCTACACCTCCAGAATATGGAGCCAGAGGGAGGGAGGGGGAGGGTGGGAAAGGGCGGGAGGGAGGGGGAGGCCGGGTGGGGGAGCAGGGGTGAAGGGGGCGGGAAGCGGGGGCTGGACATGTGACCTGGCCCTCAGCCCTAGGCCTATTTAGGACTCTCCAAACAAGCTGGGCTGAATAACAAGGGGAAAACCCGGCTCCAGCGGCCCACATCCCGGAGGCCACGTGGTCTGACGGGATGCCCTGGCTCAGTTACGTGGAGCTCCTGCTTTTAAGACTTGCCGGGCGTTGGCCTGGGGGGGGGTTGGCCTGGGAAAGCGTCCCCAACGTCCCAGAGCTGCAAGAGGGAGGGGGACATGGGACCTGGGCCCCTGGAGCTGGGGCCACTTGCTCCCCTCCCTGGGTAGACAAGGAGGTCAAGGCCATCAGGGCCCTCCAGAGAGCAAATACATGGCCTGGTCAGCCTCCAAGGTGGCCCAGGGACATGTGCGTACATGTCCCCTGGCCAGGCTGGCATCCCAGCCAGGAGGGGAGAAGACACAATGCCTGTGGTGTCACAGCTACACAACCAGTAGCGATTTTTGTGCTCGTACCTCCCCACTGGGGCACTTGACCACTGAGCCATGTCCCCAGCCTTTTTTACTTTGAGACAGGTCTTGCTAAGTTACTGTGGCTGGCCTTGAACTTGCGATCCTCCTGCCTCAGCCTCCCCAGTGTCTGGGGACTACAGGCGTGCACCTCTTACGTTCCTGTGCTAAGAAATTCAGAAATACAGGGAGTGACGTCTGCTCTTTGCCACGCTCGGTGCACGCTTAGCGCACGCTTAGCAGGCATGAGGCCCTAGGTTCCCTCCCACGTAAAAAAGGAAAAAAAAAAGTGCCAGGTGTGGTGGCACCCTGAGTGCCCTCAGCTCCCACCAGCCTCTTCTCCAGTGGCTCAAGAGCCCTGTGGCTCAGCTTGTGTGCAGGGACAGTGGGCGCCTCCCCCAGCCACTGACGTGGGAAGAATTCCACAAGGTTTCGGTCCAACGTATCCACATGGCCATTCCTCCACTAGATGGGAGGCACAGGGGTCCCATACTTTATGTATTTTCACATATTACAGTATTTCTTAACTAAAAAGAGAAGACAAGCCATTCCCCAAAATACCACAAAACCGCAAGGTGCACAATAAAAATATGACAGTATTAAATACTTCTCATTTTTTTCTCTTCCAGAAAATCTGGAAGAAATGGATTCCTTGCTGGAATAAGTAAGTGATGGATGAAAAGTGAGAACAGTTAGTGATCATCATTTCCTTTCCAAGTTTCTTTTCTTTCTAAAGTTATTTTTATCCTCTCTCCCCTTCCCGTGTCAGGAAGACCACCAGGCTGGGCAGACAGTGCACTCCCCTCCATCCGGCCCCCGTTCCAGGCAGTGTCCAGCTGATGGGAATCCAGGTCGCCTCGCCGTCCCTGCCCACTGACTGCCAGCCCAGGAGGCCACGGGCATCGTGGCTCGGGTAGATGCAGGAGAGGGAATGATGGGCCAGGTCTCTGAAACCTGCGCCACCATCAAGGCGTTACAGGTGTCTGGGGTACTCCTCACCCGCATTCCCTGAGGACGGGAATTCCCCTGCTCTGAGCTGTGGCAATGCCTGCCCATGAAGCCAGGCTCCAAAATGTCTCGAGGGACTCACAGCATCGGCCAGCATGCCCTGCAAACGCCCTTGTCTCTGCTCTCCAGAAAGCAGCCCAGAGAGGGCAGGCAGGTGGACGAGGAGCTCGCGCGGCTTGGCAGTGGCAGCGTCTCTCTGCCCCACTGGGTGGCTTGGAGGCTGCCCTCAGCCTGCTGGGCATGGGAGGACTCGGGCCCAGGAGCCCTGAGCCAGCACAGGGGTGGTGATCTCCTGGCCAACACAGACCAACAGCAGGTCTGTGGAGACCACGGTGAGGGAGGAGGAGCCACCACCCCTCCAAGCTCCCCTGACCTCCCCGGCACACGCACACCCGGAAACAGGATGAGTCCTTGCTCAGGGGTCACGCAGCCCTACAGCCCAGGAACAAGGACAGGAACAGGACAGGGGCTGACGAGGCCACCCTGGGAGAGCCACCTGGAGGAGGAAGGAGACAGTGAGAAGGGCAAAGGACAGGTAGCTGACTGTCCAAGACAAGG